TGGGGGCACAGCTGTGGAGAACTGGGGGGTGGGGGTCCCTGGATCCCAGCCCAGAGTAATTTAGTAAATTAGAGGAAACAGCATCTCTTCCTGTGTCCCCTGTTGAATACTAGCTGCCTGGGGGTGGTCGGGCTGGGAGCCCAGACTCCTGGGTCCTGGGTCTGAGGGAGAAGAAGGTGGGGGACCTAGGCTCCTGGTTGCCAGAAAGAACTTGGAGGCTGCACAGGGTGGGTGGGCTTGCTGAAGGGGCCAGGGGCCAGACAGGGAAGAGTTTTTCTCAGCTGTCAATCAGGTGCCAGTTCGGTTGCCATGGTAGCATGGCCTCATCCGCCCCACAGCCAGCAGGGTGGGGGAAAGGTCCACATCCCCTCCCCTGCCTAGAAACCCTGCCCTGCCCCCACCTTCCCAGAGATCCTGGGCCACTTCTCCTCAGGCAAGGGAGTCTGGGGCTCTTAACATTCCTGTCCCAAATCCTGGTTCCCCCCTCCCCACTCTCCCTGCCCCTCCTTTTCTCTGCCCTTCCCCAAGCAGCTGGCTCAATCAGTGCTCAGAATAGCCCCCCCTTCCTCAGCCCCAAAATAACCCACAGCTGTGGCCTGGCCCCCGCGGGGTTAACACTCCCTCTCCCCTCCCTTCCTGGTGGCTGCTTACCCCTCAACCCCTCCTCTGCCTCCCTCAGACCCACCCCTGCCTGGCCTCTGCCCAGGGGACCCTGCAAAGGCTCAAGAGGGTAGCTGGGGGTTCCACCCTACTCAGGAGGCTGGATGCCCAGGCCTCTCCATGAGGGATTTGAAGTGGTAGGCTCCCACCCCTCTAGGGACCAAGAAAAGACATCCCCAGCCACTAGGGGACTCTGGAGGCTCAATCCCCACAACCTGCACCCTTAGGAGATCACAAAGTCCAAGCTCTCAGTCTCCACCACCTCCTGAATCTCAGTCTCCATCTCCATCCACAGGGGGGCTAAGTCCAGGACCTGTCCTCTGCCCTCTCAAGGACCTAGGAAACAGCCCACGCATGCTCCTTCCTCCCTCGGACACAGAAGTCCTATCCAACTTCTGCCTGAAAGACACAGGAGTCCTGGTCCTCTGGCTCCCCTCTTGCCCCCAGACTCAGGAACCAGGTGCCCAACCTCCTCTTTTCCCAAGAACCACAATCCCAGGCCCCCAGCTCTCTCCCTCCTTAAGGATCCCCTTTTTGTCTCAAACCCATCAGTCCCAACATCCTGGGCACCCCCCCCTCCCCCCGCAACTCCAGCCTCCCCAGTTTCCCCACTCGGCTCCTGTACACAGCACAGCCTGTCCCCAAGCTTAAGAGGAGGGTGCCAGCGATTCCTGGGGTGTCCCTGTCCCCCTTGTTGCCCCCCCCAATTCATCACAGAACAGACTAGAGGCCACTTTGATCAACAGCCCGCGGCCCCCCCCCCCCCCCCCCCCGTCGTGTTGCGGAGGGCGGGCGTCCTGTCCCCCCCACCTCACAGGGTTCCCTCCCCACCCTAATCCTGGTGCTCAGGAGAGGCTGGAAGGGTACTACAGAACCTTGAGGAAGGGGTGGTAGCTTGGCATGAGGGGCGCAGATGGGGGGGGTCTGGATGCCCTCAAGGTCCTTGGCAGGGGTATTAATAGCAGACTCATAGCTCTGGGGAAGGAGGGGAGAGCTAGAGCAGGGAGGGAGAGGGACGGGCCAGCGAGGGGGGAGGTTGATGCGGCCAGGGGGGTGCAGAGGGAAGGTGAGATAGAGAGGTGGGGGATAGATATGGGGTAGCAGGCATATGGGGCTGGGAAGAGGGAGCAAAGCATCAGAGAAATGGGGTACTAGGTGGTCTGAGGTGTAGAGACCCAGAATAAAGGGGTTCAAAGAGGGAAAAAGGGGGGGCAGTTGAGTCTCCGAGAGACGGGGAGCCAGGAGGGGAAAAGACCCTTACTTCCCATTCAAGCCCCTTCCTTCCCTGAGGCCCCTGTCCAACTTTCCCAGTGCGGGCTCTGGGGGTCCACATTCTTACCCCCTACCACGACCTTACCTTTTCATGACCCTGTTCTGTGGGGGCGGTTTTTGGGGGGCCAGGACCGGAACCGGAGTCCAGCAGACCGAAAATTCGGCAGAGGGCTCAGGGAGCTGATGGGGGGGCAGGCCCTGGGGTGGCAGCGGCGGCGGCAGTGGTGGTGGTGGCGGTGGCGGCGGCAGCGGCGGCAGTGGCGGCAGCAGAGGCAGCGGCAGCGGCGGGGACCTCCTGCCTGTCCCTGGCTCCAGCTCGCCCTCCTCTTCTTCGGTCCGTCCTGCCCTGTCTGTCCCCCAAGGTTGCGGCCACCCCGGCTAGGCGAAGACGCCGCTACACATGTTGCGCTGGAAGTTGGGCCCCGGACATTGCAGAGGCTGTCGGGGTGTCCTCTCTCCACCCCGACCCCGTGGGGATCCCCCTCCGCCCACCTGGGGTGCCCCCCTCTGCCGCTTCAGCCCCAGCTCCTCCCCCAGTCCATGTGTCCAGTCCCGCCTCTCCCTGGCTCACTCGCACCCCCCTTTGTGCCCTCAGTGCCTCCCCCCGCCAGCGTCTGTGTCTGTCTGTCTGTCTGGGTCACCTCTGAAGCTGGTGGCGGGCGTGTGTTGGTGTGCAGGGAGGGAGACTGTCTGTGTGGGGAACTGCTGGCCCCTACCTCGCTTGGCCACCTCCAGACCCCCCCTTAGGGCCCCCACTCTCAAGCACAGGCAGGAGCACACACACAGACACACACAGCCCACACGCACAACCTCACTTCACTGGGATTCCCCCTTAACACCCCCGTAGCTCGAGGGGGGAGACACATACACACACAGAGTGGGTGCAATGGGGGCCTGGCTGCCACTGCTGCCCAGAGCTGTACGGACAGACAGGAGGACACAACAGCCGGGGACGCCAGACGCCCGGCCGGCCGGACGCAGGCGGGAGGCACAGAGCCCAGGTACACACCATCCATCTGGGTTTGGGGGGCTGGGGGAGGGTACTGGGGGGCCCACGACACCCAGGCAGGCAGCTCAGAGTCTCCCGACAGACAGACCCCTCCCTCCCTCAGCCTCTGCAGCCCTGACAGACACACCCCCCCCACCAGCCCAGCCCCAGACACCAGGACACACAGATCCTCACCGGGCAGATGGCAGACACACGAGAGACCCCTGGGGGCCTGGCGGACCCACCCAAGCGACACCCCCAGGCTGGGCACCAGTGGCTGAGGAAGGCAGCGGGTGGAGGGTGGCGGCGGCAGCCGTGGCTTGGAGGAGCTGAAGCGGGAGGGACTCGCATGCTAGCTGTTCTCTCTCCTTCTCTCTCTCTCTCTCTCTCTCTCTCTCTCACACACACACACACACACACACAGGCTCTCACTCAGGATGCGATTAACATTCAGTCCCTGTCTGCCCTGCCAGGAGACCCACAGCCCCCCCCTTCTTGGCTTCCCTGGGGACCCCTCCTCCTGCCCTGCCTGGGAGACAGCATCGCCCCCACCCCCCAGTCCATAGCCTCTGTCTTCCTCCTGGGACAGGAGTGAGGGGCTGCAAATAAAAAAAAGTGGACATCTTCCCCTTCCTCCCTCCCTCCCCCCTCCCCCCACCCTCTCCCTCCTCCCCCTGCCTCCCCGCCCCCCCATCAGGACTCACACTCAGCATTAAGATATCAGTTTCAAACCTCAACTCCAGGGCTTGGAGGGCTGCTGCCCTCATCCCCCTCCCCAATTTCAGGCTGGAGAAGCTGGAGGTCATTCCTGGACTTCACCCTTTGCCACGCCAAGACCCATTTTTTGGCTTTACTACCCCAGAGGACCAGATCTGCAAAGTAGGTTTCCAGGCTCCCAGTCCCTCCTCCCTCAGATTCAGGAGTCCAGACCCCCAGCCTCCTTCCTCGGACAGGAGTCCAGGCTCCCTCCTCCACCCTGAGTCCCTTTTAGGCTGACCCTGGAGCACAAACTGCCCTCAGGAGCCCACAAATCCAAGTCTGGTGGTTGTCACCCTTAGACACTCAGTCTACCCATCCTGAGGAAACCAGTACCTCCTTCTTTGGCTGAGGGATCCCAGCCTCTGTCACCCGTGGGTACTGAAACATCTGGAAGAGAAAGCTGTGTCTGCCCCTCCCAAATGCTGTTTAGTCCCCAGAGGGTCCTTCACGACAAGCTGCCCAGTCCCTACCGTTCTGCTAGGGGGGCTGGGCCCCTGGCTTCTATAAAAGTGCCATGCAGTGCTGGGGTGAGTGGGGTGCAGGACACCAGGCTCCCGAGGGTGGAGAGGGAGGAAAATCTGTGAACGGGGAAGTTCTGGGGTGGGGGGAAGTGGGGCCCAAGTTTTGGGTTGAGAAGTGGGGTGGGTCTGAGTTTTGCCCTTGAACCTGCAGATTGGGACTGCAGGCGTTGGGTATAGGGGAGAAGACTCACAGTCCTAAAGAGTCTTGGGACCTGAATTTAGGGGTCCCATAGAGAGGAAGGGATTGTGGATTTAGATTCCTGGGGCCAGGATGTTTAAGGCAGACACAAAGTGCTCGAGGTGGGACTCAAGGAAGGGGCCAACTCCTGGGGTGAGGGAGGAGGGGCTGGGTACCTGAACTCCTGGATCTGAGGGAGGACACTGGGGGCCTGGACTCTTGGGTCTGAGGGAAGAGGGGCTGGGGGCCTGGACTCCTGGATCTGAGGGAGGGACTGGGGGTTGTTTTCTTGTTTGGGGCTGCATTGGCGCTGGGGGCCCCTTTAAGGGGCGGAAGCTGGGAACCAAAAGTTCAGGGACCAGCTTCCCGGGTCCCTGTCTAAGGCGGCGGCCGGGCGGCTGGGCTGAAATCCTGGCGGAGGTACCACCTGCGCGAGGGAGCGGGCGCGTGATCTGGCAGATTCAGATCCCAAAGACCCCACAAGTTCCTAGGAGGTGCCTCGGGTGTACCGTGCGCGCCGCCGACTCCGTAAGCCGGAACGTTCCAGACAGGGGGCGCCGGGGAGCCCGGACTCCGCCCTCGGGGGCGGAGCTTCCCGCGGGGCCCACCCCCCCCCGCCCGCCTCCCTCGTCCCGGCTCCAGCTCTGCCGCCTGCTCGGGCCTCGGCTCCCCCTCCCAGAGCCCCCTCCCCGGAGCGGAGCCCACCCCAGGGCCCCTCTCCCGCCCCCCCGCCCGGCCGCCCGGCCAGAGCAGCAGCCCCGGGAGGCAGCTTCTCGCCAGCCTGACCCCCTCCAGCCCAGCCCTGCCAGACGCCCCCCAACCATGAATCTCTTCCGATTCCTGGGAGACCTCTCCCACCTCCTAGCCATCATCTTGCTACTGCTAAAAATCTGGAAGTCCCGCTCTTGTGCCGGTGAGAACCCCAGTGGGATGGGAGAAGAGGGTGGGGGGAGTGCAGGGGACATCCCCAGATCGGGGAAGCGTTTGGAGGCGCTAAGGGGACAGGTTCCTTCCCCGCCCTCCTCCTTCCCCCACTACTTGCTGGGGATCCCCTTTGCAGCTCCGGGGTCACCAGGGGGTCAACTTCCTTCCCCAGGCTGGGGGTGCACACGGTTTGGTGGGGGTGGCTCCAGGCACCGCTTTCAGCCTCCCACCCCCCCCATCTGGGTGGCCCCCCGGTTCCGGGACTGGGAACCGGGAACCATGGCAGGCAGGGAGGTGGCTGGGAGTTGGTGACGTGGAAGGTGGCGTCCAGGAAGGGAGCGGAAGGGATGAGACTACTGGTTTTGGGGGGCTGAGGTCCAATGGGATCCTCCTTAGGCCCCACCTTGGGTCTGGACTGTGGGAGGACCCGGAGGGGACTGGGGGTGGCCATGAGGCCTAACCTGGGACAGAGCCTCGGGCTGGAGTAGCTTCCGGGCCAGGGCTGCCCCCTGGCTGTGGGCCGTGGGAAAGGGCCCAGCTCTGGCAGGCTGGCGGGAGAGGCCTCCAGGGACAGCTGCACTCCAAAGCTGCCTCTAGCCTGGCCCCAGGTGTAGGAACTTGGTTTGTTTTCCATGCAGCCCACCCCCAGCTTCCCCCCAACCCCCTATCTTTCTGGACCGTAGGGATTTCAGGGAAGAGCCAGGTCCTGTTTGCTGTGGTGTTTACTGCACGATACCTGGACCTCTTCACCAACTACATCTCACTCTACAATACTTGCATGAAGGTAAAGCCTCTACCCACATCCCTGGGCCCTCCTGAGGTGGGGGAGCCGGATGAGAGTCTGAGGCAGGAGGGGAATGGGATCTGGACCCCCAAGTCTGAGGGAGGAGGGGCTGGGGGCCTGGATTCTGGGTCTCAGGTAGGAGGGAAAGGGGGCCTAGACTCCTAGGTCTGAGGGAGGAGGGCCCTGTGGGGGTCCAGACTCCTGGGTCTGAGGAAGGAGGGGCTGGGCTTCCAGACTCCCATTTCTGAGGGTAGAGGAGGCTGGGGGTAGGGGGTCCATACTCCTGGATCAGAGCCTGTGGCGGGCACAGATCCTGTGCTGTGAGCTGAAGGGCGCTCCTCCTCATCCTGCTCGACAGGTCGTCTACATTGCCTGCTCTTTTACCACGGTCTGGATGATTTACAGCAAGTTCAAAGCCACTTATGATGGGAACCACGACACATTCCGGGTGGAGTTCCTCGTTGTCCCCACGGCCATCCTGGCTTTTCTGGTCAACCATGACTTTACCCCTCTAGAGGTAGGCGTCCTGGCAGGGACCCCATCATGGTATGGGGTGGGCTGTGGCAGGACAGTAGTTGATGGGGCGGACCCTCTCACAGGCTTGTCTGCAGGGTCTGTTCAGACTTCCTTATTTTGGGATGTGGGCTCTGGAGTCAGTTGATAACCAGGCCCCAGCAACTGTGCCAGATACGACTCTAGCAGTTCATATACATGAACTTATGACTTTTCACAACAGCCTGTTTGACCTATGAGAAATGGGTAGAAAACACTTGTCCAGGGTCGGGTGCCTCATGAATGGCTCAGGAACTGGGAAAAGGGGCTCTGGAGCTAGGCTACTTGGATTGGAATGGCAGATCTGCTTCTTTCTGTGTGTGCGACTTGGGCAGGTGTCTTGCCCTTTCTGTGTCTCAGTTTCCCTATTTGTAAAGTCGATTTTTTTTTTTTTTTAAGATTTATGTATGCATACAAGAACTGGGGAACAGGCCAGAGGTGTGTGGGGTGAGAGGATTCAACCAGAGACAGAGTAGGGAACAGAATAGGCAGATTGACTGAAATACACTGCTGAGGGGAGCAGCGGGGGAGGCAGGAGAGGTCTGCTGTGCCATGTGGGTAGCTTCCTGGCAGGGGATCGAACTCTTGCTGCAGTAGCTATGGATACCTGCGTAGGTTGCGTGTTAACCCCTTGCGCCACAAGGGAGGCCTTGTAAAGTCGATATTACATCATTGTGAGGACTTAATGGTAAAGCACATAGACTCCTGAGACAGCAGTTGGGAACTCCAAACTGGCATCCATCACGGCCAGCGGACTCTGCGCCTCCATTTCCTTCTCTGGCCACCATCCATCAATACTGCATAGGGTCCTGAGGAAGGGTTAATGTTGGCCAAGTAGTGTCTGGCCTGGGTAGGAAGTGCTATGTCAGTGTTTGTTCAATGACTAAAGTCTTCTTTACCGGTCCCATACTTTCACCTTAAACATTAACTGCTGTGGTTCTGATTGTGTGGCATTTAGGGGGACCCGTGCAAATTCCTGGGAGGAATTTTGAGAGGGTCTGTGGTAAGTCTGCCATCTCCTACCCTGTAACTTCTGCCTGTAGGCAGCTGGACCTGAATGGCCCAGCGTGCTGAGGTTTACAACAGAAGCCACAATCTGGGTTTTGTTTTTTTTTTTGTGAGCTTTGGCTGCATAGACTTGGCCACAGAGTGAGAAGATATTTCTGTGCTGGCCTGACAGATCTCATGGAAGCTGACATGGGCCTGTGGGTATCAGAGGGAGGCCATACTGTTCCCGCAGGACTGTTTCGACTGCAGGCCCTGGACTTTGCAAACCTATCATCAACCACCTTGCCTGGAGCACACATCCCAGCTTATCCCATTTTACAGATGGGGAGACTGAGGCTGGGGAAGGTGGTTGGGGCTTGCCCTGGGTAGAGGAGGCTGGACCAGAACCCAGGTCTCTCGGGCCTCCCATGGTGGCGCAGCGGTTGAGCGCTGGGCTGCGAAGCTACCCGCAGCCTCTGCAGCACCGGTTCGATCCCCGGCCGCTGGCAAGGGTCCCACATGGCGCGCAGACCTCTCTTGCCGCTCGCTGCTCCCCTCAGCAGTGTATTTCGTCAGTTTGCCTTTTCTGTTCCCCGCTCTGGCTCTGGTGAATTCTCTCACCCTCCCGCACTTCTGACTGTACCCAGTGCTTATATAAATAAATAAATAAATCTTTAAAAAAAACAAAAAAAAAACCCAAAAAAACCAGAACCCAGGTCTCTTGGGTCGTTCCTTCAGATGGGGGAGGTCCCTGGTATGCAGCTGGCATCAGTTAGATTAATCTGTCATCGTTCTGTCTGGTACCTCGGCCACTTAGGGACACAGACATCCCACCCCACTTCTTCAAGGACTAAGAGGAGATGCAGAGGGTGACAGTGCCCAGGAGTGGTACCCAGATCCTCCTGCTTTCAGAACCCATGCTGGGACTTAGGCATACTAAAAATATATTATTTTTTTGCTTCTAGAAGTAGTAACTTTTTAAAAAAATGCTTCTTATTTTAGTTTTAAAAAATTGTATTTTTTTTATGGATGTGTCATTGATTCACAACACTGCCTGTGCTTTAGGGGTATGGAGGGGTATGGGTGTGTGCCCCCTTAGATAGGAAAAACTATTCTTTGAACATTCAGATGCCACAAAATGGATCAAATAAAATGCCACAGATCTTCCATTCCCTCCTAAGTCATGATTCTGGTCCCCCAGGGTAAAAGTTTTGTGGTTATCAATTAAATGGGTACATTTCCTGAGAGGCTGTAGCAACCTGACTTGATAGGAGTTTCGCTAGAGAATTCTGAACCATTATGGGAGGAGGTCCTGGAGTCCAGCCGGGGTTGGAATCTGTTTCTATCCCCACTTTAGTTGTGCGACTTTGAACAAATTAACTTATCCTCGGTCTCAGTCTTCTCAATGTAATGTGAATAACAACAGGACCTACCTCATAGGGTTGAGGCAGAGCCAGTTCATACCTGGAATGCACACAGGGCAGTGCTTGGGGCATAGTAAATGCTCTATCAGTGTGAGTTTTATGAATATTTTCTGATGTCCCCCAATAAGTCACCCCCTCAAACCAAAACAACTAAGGAGGAAGGAGCTACACCTGCCACCTGGCTTGGTTCTCTGTGGGAGGTTTCGACTGGTCTGCAGACCTTGAATCACCCCAGGTGGGACTTTCAGGGCGCTGAGAATTGAAAGGGGGCCACAGATGTCTGCGATCTCTTTTTCCCCTGTCTTGCTCGCTGGTGATGACTGTCACAGTTTCCTGAATGGGGCCCTGCAACAGGCTTGTGGGGAGCTCTTTCTAGATACTTGCTGTCATTCACTTATTCATTCAGGCATCACATATGTGCTAGGCATTGTGCCAGGGACTAGGGGGAACAAGATATAAGATCCTGGGCCTCATAGAGCTTACATTCTCATGAGAGCTGCCAGGAAAGAGATGATGCAGCAATGTGACAGTATTGTGGGGGGGGAGATGGTCAGGGAAGACATTTCTCAGGAAGTGCCTGATGAGCTAAGGCTAGAAGGAGGCAGAAGAGAGAGGATGTGACAGTCTCAGGGAAGAGCTGAGAGCATAGCAAGTACAAAGGCCCTGGGGCAGGAAGAAGGAAGTGGGTACACTGGAGGACCAGATAGGCCTAGCTGGCTGCCAGCCATTAGGAGAGTGAGAGGAGGGAGTGGGAGATGAGGCTGGATCAGGAAGGACCTGGAGGGTTAGGACTTTCCTTTTTATTCTGGTTGAGGTAAGAAGTAGCTCCTGGAGGGTCTTCTGGAGTGACTACTCCATGTCTCTAAAGATTAGATATTACAGGACAGGAAAATCCTCCCCACTTTAGAGATAAGGAAGTTCTGGGCTGGGAGATACGGTTGATTCTTGCCCAAGATTGCAAAGAGGGAAGTCTCAGAGCCTAGAGCCTTTGGGAGAGGTACGTCAAAGCACTAACTCTCGTGCACTGACTCCAAACCCTGTGTTCAAATCCCAGCTCTGCTACTATCCAGCTATGTGGTTTCGGGCAAGTCTCTTACCCAGTCTGGGCCTTGACTTCTCATTTGCAGAATGAGATGCTAACAATAGTACCTAACTCGTGGGGTCCTGGGGACAATTAGGCAAGCACAGACATGTGGCGTGGGCACAGTACACATGGCCAAGCATTGCTGTCCAGCTCCCCTCTCTCCTATCTCCTGCCTGCTCCTGCACCCACAGATCCTCTGGACCTTCTCCATCTACCTGGAGTCGGTGGCCATCTTGCCACAGCTATTCATGGTGAGCAAGACGGGCGAGGCGGAGACCATCACCAGCCATTACCTGTTCGCACTGGGTGTCTACCGCACGCTCTATCTCTTCAACTGGATCTGGCGCTACCACTTTGAGGGCTTCTTCGACCTCATCGCCATCGTGGCTGGCCTGGTCCAGACGGTCCTCTACTGCGATTTCTTCTACCTCTACATCACCAAAGGTAACCCTTGTGGGTAGAGGGCAGCCAGAGGACTTCTGTACCCTTGCAGCTCCTGTGTTGCCCTGGGTATGCTACCATCATCACTGGCTCTGGGTCACTTAAGGGATGGAGGGCTTCAGGGCCCTAGGAATTCAGACCTCCAGCCCTGCCTCCTCAAGAACCAAGGTGTTCTTCAGCCCCACATCTCTGAGGAAAGATTGGGCAAGCAGCAGGGGTCTCCCTTCCCACACAGGCGAGGCATCCCTCTCCCCAGCCCCCCACTCCTGGAGAGAAGAGAGGACAGAGAGAGGGGCAGGGGTGGCCACTGACTTAGCTCCCTGAATTTGCTGAAAGTCCTGCCTCTGCCTTGATATTCCAGAGCCAATAGTTTTTCATTTCATAGCCATAGAAAATTTAGAATTCCCATCTAAATCAGTCCCAGCCGTGTTCAGAGGAGGGAGGTGCTCCTCTTCATTGACTAATCCTTGTCCTCACCCTCAGGGACTCTGGCCCACCAAGATAGTCATTCATTCAGAGACTCAGACTCACCAACATAGATTCATTCATTCAACCAGCAAATTTCTTGATCACTCTCTGTGTGTCTGTCCAGGTGCCAGACTCAAGGGATGTGGCAGTAGGAACAGAGGTGGGGAGTAATGGTGAATGAACAATAAAGAGAGGATGCTTGCAAATAGTGAGATGGGTCCTGACAAAAAGAAACCAGGGACATGTTAGTGAACATGTGTGGAGGGTGAGGGGCTATTGTGGGGAGATCAGGGAAGGCCTTTGGAAGGAGGTGACATTTATAGCAGAGACCTGAGAAATTGGGACTCAGTCAGTGGGAAGGGAAGAGGGGGCAGCAGGCCGGAGACTGTGGAGATCAGAAGGGGTGCTCTCGTCTTACCATTCCCTCTGAGCTCAGCTCCCTGAAATCTAAGACCTCGCACCTAGCGGTCCTTTGTGGGTGGGAGAGGGCCAACCAGCACCAGATGAATTGGGGCCTCCATTGTTCAGCCCTCAGTACCAGACCAGGGTCCCCCTGAGCCTATTCCTTAGTAATTGAAGCAAATCCCCTCTGCCACATTTGTAATCCATGGTCCCACCCCAGGGTTCCTATGCCTGCTCTGGGTAGAGGTCATAGTCTCCTTCCTTGGGCACCCCCATAGTAATGGCTGTCCTCTTTTCTTTCCTCACAGTCCTAAAGGGGAAGAAATTGAGTTTGCCAGCCTAGCCCCGGTCCTCGTTCTCGCCATCCCTCTCTTTGGCGACAGCGGCGAGAGGCAGGGGAAGGCAACGAAAGACAAGAACCTTTCGGTCCAGGGGTGACTTTTGAAAGAACCAACTTCTCCCCACTTCCCATCGTCCCCTCCTGCCGGGTTTCAGGGGGTGGTGGAGGACCCCCAAGTCTTGGGGAGCTCAGGACCTGGGCTGTTTGTAGTTTTTTGCCTTTTAGAGAAGAGAAAAAAAGCTTTCCACTATTTAGTTTTTGATTCTGATGACCCTCCTCTCTCTTCTACTCTCTAGCCCCCATTTTTATAAACTGTTTCTGAGTGTCCTGTGGGGTGTGGCAGGGTGGGAGAGCTTTTCCCTCCCCCCAGACCCCTCGGCTCCCTTCCAGATTCTATTGCCTAGCCCCAGGGGTTGCCAAACACTAAATCTGCCAACACCCTCATTGGCCCAACCTCCCACCACGGCCATGAACCATCACCACCACCCCCCCAAATTTTGGACTGGGGTAAGAGGGGTGGGAAGGTGCCCCTGATTTTTTCATGATAATGATTTCCCAGAGTTTGGGTTCTTTGGTCTTATCCTCATTTTTTGGCAGTTTAGGGGGGCAAGGGGCTGGGCGTGGGAGGGAGCTGGCCAGAGGGTCACCGCGGCTCTCCTGCCGTGTTTTTGTACAGAATTGTTGGTTGATTCTTTGTTCTCTTGAAATAAACCGAGGAAAATGATGCCTCTCTTTCACTACTTGTGGCCCTCTCTCTGGCGTTTGACTCTGCTGATTCCTGACTCCTCACGGCTTCCCTGGGGGAAGAGGTTTTGGAGAAAAAATAAATCTCAAAGATTCTTATCTTAGCACAGAACTTTCCTGACACTTGTCCTGGATTTCAGGGATGACCTTCACAAGCATATGACTCGGAGGCCGTAGGCAGCCCCTATCTCCCTGCCCCTGTTTAGTGGGCATTTTGTTGAAGCCCATTGCATGCTTTCTTAAAATGAAAAGAATCAGTTGCCAGCCTTAAAAAAAAACAGATTTCCACATTAAAGTCAGGATTTCTGGCTTCTCTTGAAGAAAGAAATTCATCAATCTGATGATGCCAGGTCCATGTTTCTGGGTGGCAACAGATGGCAGGAGCTCAATGGCTGGGACACGCAAGCTTTTCACCACAGTCCCCAGGACTTGGCTGAGGGCTTGTCACCAATTCATTATCGGGTGGATGCTGTTGATTTGGGTTTGGGTTTTGTGGAGTTAAAAGGCAAGTGAAATACAGCCCATGTCTCTCCATACTGGCTCTGCACCTGGCCTTGTTCCTTTAACCTGGGAGCCCTTGGAGTTTTGCCTCCTGACTTAGTCACATTTCCTAGATATCCACTGAGATCCTCCTTAACTGTCTTAACCACCTCTAGGTTCTAGAAACAGTTTGGGGTAAATTTTTTTTTAATTCATTGCCAACAAATTCCACATAAATTTAATTCATTCTGCTATTCCCACACTGGAATGTCCAACTGTACTAGGGAAATCAGAAGGTTCTAGAGCTGCACCATCCAACACGGTAGCCTAGAGCTACATGTGACCAACAGCAGTTGAAGTAGGAGTCTAGAGGCAGTGTGGGAACTTACTGTGGGCATCTAAGATGCCCCATGAAGGATTTTTATATTGATGACATGTTGGATATGTGGGTTAAATAAAAGATGTGAAATGACTATCCACTCTTTTGTTCTACTTTTCTTCATGGGGCAACTATGCAACTTAGAGCTGTCCCCCATGACTCACGTTGTGAGAGCTGCCCTGGACTCCCTCCTGGACATAGCTCCTGACTCCATCTCCTCCTTTTGGGTTGCTTCACCCTTTGAAGTAGATTTTTGTGACCTGCATATGAGTTCCCAATTAGCTTTGGGGTCCTACAGTAAGACCCCTTCCTTTATCCTGAGATTGTCATTAAAATACTTGAAGATAAGGATCATGTCCTGTCTTAGTCATGGATTTGCCACCCCCTGTTCCTTCAGTGACTCCTCCTCACACAGTTTGGTTTTGTTTGACTTGGGGCCCTTGTCTTGGTAAGGGAATGGGCTTCACTCATTTTGTATTTTCTCCCCTAAACTTGACCTCAGCTCTATAGGGGGGCCTCCTTTCGTGGTTCATGTGAGGAGTCAAGGGCTGGGTGGGGAACAGCTCTGAAAGGTAAGTCCTCTTCCTGTTCCCACCTCTGATGGGCCCCATCCTAGTGGCACCCTGGAGGTGCTGGGGAATGAGACCTCAGCACAGACCCCTGTGGTAACCTGGGAGGACTTCTCCCACCCGGGCTACTCCAGAGAAGAACAGATATGTGCAGGACAGAGAGGGCTGTTTCAGAAAGCTCCCTGCAGGGAGGGTTATCTCTTTACTGCTGGAAGGAGACTGTTTAGTCATCGGACATCATAGCGAGGCGGGGGACCTTCGGAGTGGTCAGATAGGGGGACAGAGCGGAACTGGAGTAACTCAGGCTGTTGGCTCCAGAAGCGGGTGTGTTGATGGGGCTGGCAGCTGAGGGTGGGGAGATGGTGGTCAGCACCACACCACCCTCATCCAGAGAGCGCTTGTAGGGGACGGGAGTATCATTCCGGAGGTCCTGGAAGGCCAGGTAAGCCTGGAATATCTGTGGGCAGAAAATGGTGGACTGAAGGCTGGCTTGGGCGGGGTGGGGAAGGAGCTGCCGGTGCCGAGGGGCCCATGCCTCCCTGCCCCAGGGCACCCAGCACCATCCCCAATGCTGGACTTTTGTTTGCTCCCAGCAAGGGTTACTACCTCCTTTTCCATATGTCCAGGTCCCCCAGGCCCTCCTAGGTCACAGAAAGGGCTAGTGGAGGCCCTGGGAGGGACCCCTCTGACCCCATCCCCTGCAGAGGGTGCCCAGGGAAGGGGCTCTCCTCACCCAGACAAGGATGGAGAAGAAGGCGAAGGCGATGGCCGCCCTGGCGCTGCTGCTCCCCAGGAGGAACTCTTTGGGGGGCGAATGCTGCCACTGGTTGGCCATGAAGCAGAAACCCACGAACCAGATGCCTGTCCAGAGGACTGTGGGGTCATGGAGAGAAGAGGGGTAGGGGAAGAATTGGCTCAGGAAAGGCATCTGGGGTCTCGATTGGCCTCTTACTCCCAGCCCTCAGGAACACTCATGTTCTGGGGTGGAGCAGCCCTGTGCACAGAGAGGCCGCTGGCCACCCCTGGCTATGTACATCTCCATCAATTCAAATAAAATTTAAGACAGTGCAGCCCCTTGGTTGCACTGGTCACATCTGAAGTTCTTGGTAGCCACATGTAGCTGATGACTCCTGAGTTGGGAGTGCAGATGCAGGATATCTCCACCCTCAAAGAACGTTCTCTGGGATGGTTCTGCAACTGCTGACCTTTAAGGGCCCTGAGATGCTGGGACCGGCCTGGGTGGAGGAGGGAGAGGTAGGGGAAGAGTAGAGATCAGCCAGACTGGGAAGAAGGAGTCTGGAGCCCCGAGGACAAGGAACACCCACATATTTAACACTTACTGTGTGCCAGGCTCCCTTAAGCTAGGGTGCTTGGCTGACTGACCTTGCTTAGAAGCCTGGACCTGCCACTCAGTAGCTATGTGCCCAATTACATAAACAACTCATTCCTCAGTTTCCTCCTCTGTGAAATGGGTATATGAACAAGATTTGCCTCCACAGGCTAGTTCTGAGGAATAAATGAGAGAGGCACCTGGTGCCCTGGACTCCAAGCTTGACTTTGAGCCTTGGGACGCACCCAGGAAAGGTCAACCTCAATCACTACAGGTGTCTTGCTCTCATTTTATCCTCAGAAAACCCTTATGTGTGTGTAGGGGGGGTTTACATCCCCACTTTCCCCCCCCCCCGCAGCTTACCCCAGGGGGGAGAAACACTCAGGCCCCCAGACAAGAGAGGAGGCACCAAGAGGAGATGGGAACTCATTTCTGTCTGACTCTACTCCTGCCACTGGGTGACTTTTCAAGAAAAGTTATGTGAAAAAGACGTGGCTATGAGCCCAAAGCTGGATAGAAGGGGAGGCTTCTGGAATAGCCTGAGGGTGAAGAGGTGACCTTTACCCTGAGTCTAAAGGAGGATAATTCCTCAGGAGGAAAGAGCAGGTGCAAAAAAGCTGCAACAGGGGAGCAAGGTCAGAGGCCAGCTGGTTGGGTGAAGAGGCTCTGGGGGGCCAGGGACAGCTCTGGGGCTGGTCCCCAGGGCTCACCAGCCAGGATGAAGTCCAGGAGCTGGAAGGCTGTCTTGAAGCGGGTGTTGGCAATGCGGGCCTCCTGGGCATCCAGAAGCAGGAAGAGCAGGCTGGTGAGGAAGGCCAGGAGGCCAGCTCCCACTGCAAAGCTGCAGGCCGGGGTGTGGCTGTTGAGCACACAGTGCAGTTTCGAGGAGTCAGCCTTGTTCTGGTAGCCATCCGTCAGCAGGGAGGAGAATACGACGAGGGAGAAGACCTGTGTGGACGGAAGGGGGGTTTCCAGGGCCCAGAGTAGAGCTCAGCAACTCCTAAACCTGTTCAGACCCCCAGATCCTGTGGGGAGACAGCAGACCCTGCCTTGTGTCCATTGGGCCCTGTTCTCAGCACTGCTAAGCTCCATTCCTCCTGCCATGCTTCTTGGTCCTGGTTCTCTCTTGCTGGGTCCTCCAATCAGGACCCTCAGCCTGTTACCCACAGGGCCCCAGAGGGGTCTTTCTACACCCTGTCCATTCTAGCTCTCTTGGTGCCTCATTTCACTCCTCCCTAACTCACCTACACTCTCCTTCAGTTACCCCAAACTGGTACTGGGCACCAAAGCCAGGTGCCAAATACTTGGCACAGGGCCCCATGAAGAGCTCAGTCAGTATTTGCCATCAGGATTATTCTCTCCACCTCCAAGTTCTTCCCGCTGCCTGCAACTCTTCCTTCTCCCACCCAGCTCGGGGTAATTCCTATTCACTTTTTCAAATAAATTTGTGAAGCTCCATGATTGATGTTTGGATGTGGTAGAGACACACAATAGAGTACTATTCAGCCATGAAAAAAGGATTAAATCTTGCCATTTGCAACACCAGGAATGGATCTGGAAGGGATAGGCTCAGTAAAATAAATTGGGGAAAAGACTAATACTGGAAGATTTCACTCATTTATGGAATAGAAAGAGAACAAAACTAAAAACAAAGCCTTAGATATTGACAATAGAATGGGAAGTTAATGGAGGGGAAAGAAGTGGGGAGGGAATGGACAGATTGGTTGGTGATGGGTAGTGACTGATCATTTGTTGGTGGGCATAGTGAGAAAATGTACTCCTGGAACCTATAGGGTGTTGTAAACTAATGTCACGTCGATAAAAAATATTTATAAATTTGTGAAATCTTCTAAAGACACAGAAAAGTACAGAGAGGAATATAATTAACACTCAGCACCTAAAAATATTACCTACCATTTTGCTTTTCGTGTGTGTACCTGGAATTATCTTTCCCCTCAAACAAATACAACATCACAGATATGGTAGCCCCGTTCTTGTCTGTCAATGCTGCACACAGTGCACTGTGGTACAATTGTCTGCATCTCAGCTGGTCTTCTACAGTGTTTATATTACACAGTATTGAAATTCTCCACAAGCACTAGCCTGCTTGTGTCATTCTTACAGACTCCCTAGGAAGTGGGCACTGAATGTTATTCCCTAATGGAATGGAGACACAGAGTGGACAAGAAATTGTCCAAAGTCAGATTGTTAGAAAATGGCAGTGCCCGGATATGAACCGAAACGATCCAGCTCCTGAGTTGGCCTTTACCCGCTACTGTATTGCCTTGAACTGGACCAGACACCTTGAGGGGTTCTAATCAATGCAACCTAGTAAGGATTTCCAGGCCCAATTATCTGTCCCAGGCAAGTACAGCGTGGCGTGGCAAGGTCCACACCTGATGTGGAAGGAACTGGGTGTACATGGCATGGCTGGTAGTTGGTCCAGGAAGACTTTCTGGAGAAGGTGCCACTTGTGAGGAATGTTGTAGGGTGAGAAAGGCTAAGGAATAGGGATATCGTCTGGAGGATAATAGGGAACCACAAAGGATCTGTGAGCAGGGGAGGGGCAGGGTCACTTTGGGGTACATGGAGATGGATTGGGAAGGGGGCAATAGGGAGGGAGGAGGCTGGGACCTGGGGTCCAGGAGAGAGACAAGGCTTGAGTGGAATTCATGGGGCTGAATTTAGTCACAGGAGAGATTTGAATGCTCTGTAAAGAATGAATTTTTTGGCAGAGGGAGATGGGCATGGCAGGTGTGTGTGCTGGTTGGGGGAGGGGGGTGACGGGGGGATGAGGAGCTGCATGTGCAAAAGCCAGATGCTGCAGGATGGAGCTCCCATAGGGAATGGAGGAATCTCTTTAGGGGACTTGATGTGAGATAAGACTAGGGTGGGCCAGGACCAGAGCCTGACAGGCCTTGAACCCCAGACTCACAGGCCTAGACTTGGGAGCTGTAGAAAATGAAATTTCTAACTTGGATTTAATTTTATGTATGATGGCTTCTGAGGCTGGACGACCAGTTCTGGGAGGTGGAGAGATCTTTAAGGTCATGGTGGCTTGGCAAGGCCAACAGATCAGAGAGGAGATTGGTGGGAAGACCCAGGCTAGAAACCTGGAGATGAGAGCTGAGGTGAATTCAGTGATAATCAGGATGTAAAAGTGAACTTGGTGATTGATTGGCTCTGGTGGTGCTGGAGACAGAGACAGGGATCAGGGAAGGAGGTGAGGGGAAGGGAATTCATTGAGTCTGCTCCTAGACAGGCTCCACATGGGATTCTCTGTCCTCAGGGTCAAGCACTGGATTGAACTCCAGCCAGTGTGTGCTGAAAACCTGACTGATTTTGGGTCCCTTCTTTGCTCTTGTTCTGCCCTTCAGTGTGGGGTAGGGAAAGACAAAGTACTGGCCCCCAAACCCCTCTGCTTCTGGCCATCTCCTCTCTCGTTGGCCTTAATTGCCTTCTCTGAAAGACGATGACAAGTGGTCACAATGACGACCAGGTGGATTCACATCTGTTCCCCACTAGGAGTGGAAGAACTGAGTCCACAGAAGGGCAGTGTCTGGGCAGTGCCTGGTCAAGGATGGGACGGCCCATCGATCATTTTTGAGTCCCTGTTCCCTGACTTGCACCACCTGCCTGAAGCTTCACACCAGCCCCACATGGTGGATGTTCCTCAGTCATTTGTTTCACAGGTGATAAATCGAAGCCATTAGGGAGGAGTGGAAAGAGCCAGAGCCTCTGACTTCACCAGCTGGGTGGCCCAGGGCAACTCGCTCACCGCCTGGAGCCTCAGTTTCCCAGTCTGTGTCTAGGCTGTGAAAGAGGAGGCATGGGAGGTGGGATGGAAGGGGGCTGGATCTAGGGAGATCTTGTGATCTGCCCAGAGAGGGGATGTGTCCTGTCAAGGTTAGTCAGTGGGGAAGGGGGAGTGGAGTTCAGGCCTCCTGACTTCCAAATGCCTGTGCTCCCATCTGTCCATTGACCCTAAAATCCTTTGGTTGCGGTGGAGAAGGGGGAGGGAGGGCGCTCAGCTGGGTAGGAGGGACTCTGGCCCTGGGAAGCCAAGTCCAACCTCCTTCCACACCCTTCCTGGCCTGTCCCCAGGGAGGGAGCAAAGATTCATCAGTTAAGGCACCAGCTGGCAAATGGCAGCAAGAAGGACAAGAGCACCAGCTGCCCAGAGACACCCTAGGGAGGAGCCAGGCCAGGGGGGAGGAGGGGAGAGTGGGCAGGCAGGAAGGAGGATAGAGGTAGCAGGCAAAGTCCGTGACCAAGACGGCTGGCGGCCCTGCCCTCCTCCTTCCCCACACCAGGCCACAACAGCTGGGCCTCCACTCCCTGGCCACCTGCCTTTCCTTGCCAGGCTTGGGGGTGGGAGGGTGGATCCCCATTTTGACTCAGTTGCCAGCTGGGTAAATCACTCAACCTCTGGAAGCCTCAGTTTCCCCTTGGGTCAAACACGGTCACAGATTCCCAGCTCCAGGTAGGTCGTGGTAAGTGAGAAGAGCTGACATGAGGCAGGGACTGGAGACTGAGACCTGGAATTGATAATTCCCCTCTTCCCCTGGGAGAGAGCCGCCTTGGACACAGGTCCCCACCACTATGCTGTCCTAATAATAATAATTTGGGTGTTTCAGGAAAGATGACTATTTGCAGGAACTGCTCAGTTTCTAGGCATTGATTTGTTTCATTTTCACAAGTCCTTCCTATGAGCAGGGCTTGAGTATCTTCTTTTCACACCTGGGAGGTGTGAAAGGTTACATTACTTGCTCAAGGTCACATGGACAATGGGTGACCTTGCACGTTAGTTAACCAAAAGGGACACTTGAGAATGAGAGGCGCTGCTGCAGCTAGTCATGCCAAGACTGGCCCCAGCAAATGGGGGAGTGTGTCACCCTACAAGGTCAGCCTGTGGCTAAGCCAGGATTCTGGGTCAGGCCTGTCTGATTCCTCTCTGACCACAGTTTCCAGCAGTGGGGGAGAGGAGACACACTGGATTAGGAATGAATGGGGAGGCCCTGGGTTCCATCCAAGTTACCCCTCCCCATTGCCATGATCTTGGGCTTCATCAAAATTCATCATCTCCCCAGATCCCGGTTTCCAACTCCATCAGAGGAGAGCCATGCAGGCGGAACAGAGTCTCAGGTTTAACTCTTTATGTAGTAAGGTTCATCAGAGAGGGGCAGTGATTGGCCTGAGGTCACACAGTAAATTCTGGGCTGAGGATTTGATGCCAGATGTCTTGACTAGTCAGGAATGTGGTAACGAAGGTATGTAACCAAGGTGAGTAACAGAGGCAGGGAAGCACATGCATATTATGAAGGCAGGATACAAATGCATGTAACGAAGACATGCAGTGAATGTATGTAACAAAGGCATGGAATGAACGTGCAGAAAGCCCTCACTTGCATAGTGCTTGGCACAGAGCAACCACCCAGCACCTGGCATTGTAGATCTGTCACATAATCTCTGCCCCTCTTTCTTCCTGGAGGCCCAGCCCCTCCTGCTCTCTTTGCCCCTTGTTTAGGAGGTGGAAAACAAATGGGCTCCAGCATCTCACACCCTTCTATTTGAATGTGGATTGTCCCCATTAATGTATAGCCCTAGCCACTGCAGCTTAGTGGAATCTTCTGCCATGATGGAACGTTCTAGCTATCCAATATGAGAACCACCAGCTCCATGGCCACTGAGACCAAGGAACAGAATATTTCCTATTTCGTTTAAATGAAGCAAGACACATGGGCTGCTGGCTACCCTGTTGGATAGCACAGATTTAAGACTTCTTTCTTGGGGTGGGAAGGGGAAGAGGGAAGATTGGGAGGGAAAAAGAGACACTTCTCTTTCTCTGATCCTCAGATTTCTTATCTCAAAAATGGAGCTCATGGCACCACCTTGGAAGGATTTCTTTCTTTCTATGAGTTCATTGTTGTGCAGATTAGTGCAGGGCCTGGACTTAGGTGCTCAGTAAAGGTGACTTGGCCTTCCCTATCTGACCCTTCCATCTCCCCATCCCCACCCTGCTCCCTCTGCACTGTGTCTGGGGGCTGAGAACGCCTATGTCCAGTCACCCAGGGGGCCATCAGATCACAGAGGGGTCTCACCCCTGCAAAGATCCGAGCAATTGTCTTTGGTCTCTTCAGAAACCGCACCGCTTCACTGTCAGCCAGGTCCTGGAGGCTTTCAGGGATGTGCATGGTGGCTGCTCTGCTTCTGAGGCCTGGAGAGGTGGGGACAGGGAGGCTGGGTGCTGTCTGCTGCTGTCCGGGGTTCTCCACGCCCACCCTGGAGCTCAGCTGCTGCAAGACGAGGCGGGCTGTTAGGGTCTGGGGTGCTGGGTAAAGGGGCTACCAGGAGTAGGGGCATGGGTGAAAGGGTGCTAGGAGGTCCCAGGAAGTTGTGTGGGTAAGGGGTTTTCCGGGGTTGTCAGGAATTGGGCTATGGAGTGTGGAGGATGCTGGGGGTCCCAGAGCTTAAGGTGCAGGGTGAGAGAGTTATTGAGGATGCTTTGAATTGGGGTGCAGGGAATGGGGCTCCTGAGATTTCCAAATGTAGGGGTACACGGCATCCTAGAGTAGAGGGTATGGGTGAAGGGGCTGCTGGAAGTCCAGGGAGTCAGGACTGCTAAGTGAAAAGGCTGTAGGGTGAGGGGGTTATCACGGTCCCTGAGTTGGAGGTGTAGGGTGAGGAGATCCCATTCCAGCAAGAAGGGATGGGGAGAGGGCTGGGATATTTGGGAGTCATATCCCTCAGACAGGAGCCAGAGGGCCCATCAGGACTGTGTTCTGAGAGGACACAATTTCCAGGGCATAGGGGAAATGGCATGGAGATGAGAGGCCCGGTGAGGTCTGAACCAGAGGAACCCCTTACAGGTTTGGCGCTTACAGCAGCCATCATGGAGAACTCAGGCATCTCAAGGTCCATTTTAGGCTGTCCTAGGAATATGGAGTTATTTCCTTAGAATAACCCCTCCCTGCCTTTAGAATTCAGGGGCAGCTTCACAAACTCAAGCATATTTCCTCCAGTTGGGAGACTGGACCTCTGATGTGGTGGGTAACATGGACTCAGAACTAGGCCATCCCCTCAGAATTAGGAGGCCATGCCCCTCCCCCACTAAGCTACCTTCTTAGAATTGGGGTCTTCCGTTTAAAGACGTGGAATGGAGGTGGCAGGGCTTCGAGGTGACACTGCCTGACACAGTCACCCCTACTCTGGAGGCCCTGTTTGCGTCCCCTGTAGGAGCGCTCTTCCTCTCGCCCACCCTCCCCTCCTGGTCCCTGGCACCACCTCAGCCTTCTTTTGGTTCCGCTTTTTCCCGCCTTTTCACTCCGTCACAGCTGATTGGCTATTCCCAAGTCCCGCCCCCTTTCTTTTCCCGCCTACTCAGGAGCGGACACGAACGGGGGCGTGGTCTCAGCGGACGTTGGGCCGCCCGCCGTTGGCCGGTTGCGCGAGGGAGCGGTCTCCTGCCCTGCCCCCTGGCCCTCATTCCAGGAGTCTCGCGCCCGCCCCCCTCTCTTTGAAGCAGGAGGATAAGACGACCCTTTTGTAGCGCATGCGCCAAATAGGTTTGCGGTGGAGCAAGGCACGTAGAATGCGCATGCGCAGTTGATGAGCCAGTGTATATACGGAGATAGAGCACAGTTACGCAGCTGCGCATGCGTGTTATTGCTGCCTGAAGCCCAACCTCAGGGGCCCAAGCCGCCCCTTTCTGCACATGCGCAGGAGGCTCAATGACAGTCGAGCGTTGGCTAAGGTGAGGGAGCGGGCGAAGGATTGCATGAACCGGGAGGGCGCTCCGCACCCCCAGTGTAGCCTTTCCGACATCTCCTCTGCTCCTAAAACCCACCTCGGCGCCTAGATTACGCAGAGGCTAGTTGTACTATCACAGCGTCACTAGGCCCGCAAAACGCCCCAGGACCTAAGACCTCTGACCCGTGTCTGGGACTCCGGCCAACTGAGCAGTGTAGGAGGAGACTGGCAAGGGGGGCTAAGAGGTGGGCGGAAGGGCTCTGCGCCCTGCCTGGGATCGGGACGGCCCCTGGAGGTTGAACGTGGAAGTGGAAAGGGCGCTTTCCCCCCAGGTGACCTTTGCACCTTGCCCGTTTCCCTCGTCTAGGCTCCGGGGAAAGGATCTAGCCATGCTGCATGTGACCCGGGGGGTCTGGGGATCCAGGGTCCGAGCATGGCCCCTGCTGCCAGCGCCCCTCAGGCCCCCCCGGGCGCTGTCGTCGCTGGCGACCAAGATTGGGGAGTACCGCAAGATGTGGAACCCCACGGAGCCCCGCGACTGGGCCCATCAGTACCGCGAAAGATTCATCCCATTCTCCAAGGAGCAGCTGCTCCGCCTACTGATACAGGTACCCGCAGTCCAGGGAGCCAAAGCCTGGGGACTACAATTCCCGGCAGGCTTCGCGGTGGCAGGACCCTATACGCTATCGGGGGCGCCTCTTGGGAGTTGTAGTTCCAATTCTCATTCCCACGGGGCGTAGAGTGAATTTGTATTCTAAGGGAAGAGCGCTGAGATGCGAACGCACCATAGATCCCAACGCACCATAGATCCCTACTCTAGATTGCTCTAGAGGAGGGAGGTTTGAACAGGCAGTCGCTGGAGCATGGTTTTACCTTCTGCAAGTGGGTTTAACACTCATCTTCATCACTACTATTGCTTCTACCTAATGATTATTAGGAATGTATAATCATAATTGTTATCAGACTGAGCTCTTACTACGTGGTATTGTGCTATTGTGCATTTCCCATGTATTGTTGAATCATCAGAACAACCCAGTAAGAGACATATCACCACCATCCCCATTATACAAACGAATTCTCTAGAATCAGGAGCAGGGAAGTGATAGATCCAAGATCATGACATCATGCTCCAGATCTGAACCCAAGCAACCTGACTACATAGCAGGTGGGGACGAGGGTGAGGTGATTAGGCACTTACTTGACCCTGAGAGACCCCTAAATTTTGCATCCTTAGACACCTCATTCACCTCACCCTGCTCCTGGTCCTGTTTCTGTACTTGAACTCTTACCTCACTATCAGCATCATTATCATCCTTGTCATTGAGAATTATCATGTATTCATGTAACAATTATTATTCATGTACTAAGTCTTGGACTGGACTTTATACTTACACACATACTTAAGTGACACCTGTATAGGGACACACATAATGACAAAAATTCTCACCTTCAGTTTCTGAGAAAGAAGGTGTGGTCCTGTGTGCTAGTAAGGAGCCAGGCTCAGGCACTGAGATGGGAGGACGAAAGAAGCCCTTCAATGTGTGTGCCTCGGAGTCTTAGCTTCTCTTTGAACAGACACTCAGCAAGTAGCTTTCCTGAGGCCATTTCCCCCTTTGAAAAATGAGAGAAAGAACTCTATCCACCCCCTTGCCTGCTCTGGAGGATAGTATGATGCAGGCCAACAGTGCCTGGCACACAATAAGCATTGTGTGGAGGTTGGCGAGTAAGTGTCAGAGCAGGAACTTGAGCCTTTAGCTGTCTCAGCACCTCTTTCTTTCTTTTTAAATTACATCCCCAAAAGATGCGAGGGTCCCTGGTACTGTGCTGGACCATGGATAAAACAATGATAGCAACCAGGTCCCTGCTCTCAGGAAGCTTCTGTTACAGTGGGGCCTGACCAGGACTCAGGTGCAGATGAGGACAATCTCATAACATGATGGGTGCTACTGGGAAAACAAAACAGCAATGTTATGGAAAGCATCATGTGGGAATCCTTAGATTGGGGTGGAATTGAGATTTAGGGGATGCTATTTATTTATTTATTTATTTTTTTTTAATTTATTTATTTATTCATTCATTTATTTATACAAGCACTGGGTACAGTCAGACGCGCGGGAGGGTGAGAGAATTCACCAGAGCCAGAGCGGAGAGCAGAGCAGGCAGAGGGACCGAAGCACACTGCTGAGGGGAGCAGCGGGCGGCAGGAGAGGTCTGCGTGCCATGTGGGACCCTCCTGTGGTGGCCGGGGAGCAGCTGGGGATCGAACCTGCACCGCAGAGGCCGCGGGCAGCTTCGCAACCCAGCGCTCAACCGCTGCGCCACCGGGGAGGCCCTAGGGGATGCTATTTAAACCATATGATTTTCAGTCTTCCAGGTGACCTCAGATTCTTGGTCAGTAAAATTGGTTCAGCTTGACCTCCTCCTAAACCAAGCAAGAACTTTTTTTCTTTCCCTTGTTTATCTGTTTTTTTTTCTTTATCTTTATTCATTCTATTTTTTTCTTTGTTTTGGCCTTTCATTTATTTGCTTATTCTACTTTCCACTGGTGGTTTAAATTTTTTTTTTTACTTTATTCTTTGGGTTTTTTCCTTCTTTTATCTTTTCTCTGTCTTCTTTTTTCCTTTCTAATTTTTTGGTCTTTCATTGCTTACTTCTTTGCAATTAAAATATTCTTTGTTCTTATCTGTTTTTTCTCTCTTTTTCTCTTTCATTGTTTGCTTTTTTAATAGTTTAAAATTTTTAAATTTTTCATTTTATTCTGTTTTTTTTTAAATCTTCCAAGCCAAAAAAAAAAAAAAAAATTAAAACCCCGATTCTGATTGTGTGTATGGGCTGTTAGGGAAAGAATCCTCTCCCTCCCCACTTCCCTACGTACGGGAAGGGGAAAGATGCCTAAAGAGTAGTGTTGCTTCCTGAATTAACAGGAATTCCATTCCAGTCCTGCGCAGAAGGCTACTCTGGAGGAGTTCTCAGCCCATGTGGACTTCTGCACCTTGTTTCACTACCACCACATCCTGGCCCGACTGCAGGTGAGGATGGAGCCCTTCTGGTCCTATGGTGCTTGTTTGATTACCCATTCATTCTGCAAAAATTCTCCGAGCACCTGTTTGGAGCCTGACTCTGGTCTAAACAGTAACTAGAACAGAGAAAGCTACACACTCATGGAGGTGATATTCCAGTACGGGGGGGGATGATAAATCAATCAATACATACAAAAGATGATACCCTAGAATGATGAGTGGCAAGTGCTCTGAAAAAGAGTGAGGCAGAGTGTGGGCCTGTGTTAGGATGGTCAGGGAAAGCTTTCATATCAAGGTGATAGATGAGTTCAGACTGATACAAAGTCGAGGGGAAAGCAAATGCAAAGGTCCTGTGGTAAGAGTGGGCCTAGAGTGTTGGAGGAACAGCAAAGCCACTACTGTGGCTGGAAGGGAGTGAGGGAGGGAGAGAGGGTAGGAGATGAAAGCAGGAAGGGAAGGGAGCAAATTGGGCCTGACCTTGTGGGCTGTGGTAAAGACTTTGTTTCTGACTCTTGAGTAAGCTGGGAGCCCAAGAGGGCTCTGAGCAGAGGAAGTCTATGGAGTTGATTTCAGAGTTACTAGAATCCTCTGACTGTTGTGCAGGCCAGAAAACTCATCCAAGAGTTGGTTATGTTTGTCATGGTGAGAGAGAATGGCAGCTCCCAGAAGAGCAATGGCAGTGGAAGTGGTGAGAAGTGGTCAGATGCTGGTCACAGTTGGCAGGCATGAGCATTTGGCTGTGTGGGCACAGTGATGAGGGAGAGAGGGGAGGCAGGGGTTGCCTCTGGCTGTTCTGACCTGCTCCTCCGGAAGGATGGCGCTACCTTTTACTGAGATCAGAAGATGGGGCGGAGGCGGGAGCCAGATTTGCAGGGAAGATTGAGAGCTCAGTTTTGGACTTAGGAATTTGAGCTGCCTGTTAGCCAGCCTGGTTGACACAATGTGGGGTCTGGAGGTCAAGGGAGGGCCCTGGATTGAGAAACAACCCTTGGGAGGATCAGGATGACACTAAATGAGACCACTATGGGGATTAACATAGACAGAGAGGAGAGGTGGCTCTGGATTAAGCCCTGGGGAAGGCCAGCGTGGAGATCAAGAAGGGAAACTGGTACCGATGAAGGGCACAGACAAGACAAGATGTGGCCAGAGAGGATGGTGGAGCTCTAGGGGAATGTGGTGTCAGGAAGGAAAATCCTCAGGGTCCTTCTCTTTTCAGGATCCTGCTAGTATTGGGGGTCCCCAAATTCAGTGATTTTTCTAGAGGACCTCAGAGCTCAGGGAAGCTGTTCTGCTCCCAGTAATCATTTACACAGCAAAACGTTAGTGACTAAAATTAGAGGAAAGGGGGCCTCTCAGTAGCACAGGGGTTAAAGTCTCAGCACTATCAAGCTATCACCAGCCACCGTGGCACAAGTTTGATCCCCACCCAGGGAGCTGACCCACATGGCACAGCAGATCTCTCCTGTTTTGCCCACTGCTCCTCAGCAGTGTATTTCAGTAGATCCACCT